ATGAAGAATATTTTAAAAGATTATCTAAATTGAATCGTTCATGATCATTTATTAATTCGACGACATCATCATATAAAGCACTTCGTTCCCGTTTGGCAATTTCTATAACACTTTTAACCCGCTCTTCTTGGTTATCAAATTTATTACTTAATTTTCTTTTTAATATTTTATTTTCAAGCAATAATTGTTTATTAAGACATTCTAATTCATTAATTTTTTTTACAAGACTATCATATTCAGGATTCGGTAACGATACTTGAATCCCAAAATCACAAAATTTCGTTTCACTATCAGGTAATTCTATTTTTTTTTTTTTTTTTTTTTTTCTAAGAAAAAAACAGAATCGCCGATTTTTTCTAATTGCTCATGAAAAAAATTTTTAACAATAATATTATTGTAATGTTTTTGACATAGGGAGTAATTTTCTAAAGACTCAAGTAATAAAGACAACTTCGGAAGATACTTAACCAAGACTTGCACTTTATTCACTACCATGGAACCTGTTGCATATCGCCACTGTTGTTTTTCAGGAGTCTCACATTTTGCTAATTCACTTCCTGGATAGTCTTGAACAAGAAAGCTAAATACGCAAGGCAACTCTTTGGCTTCTGTTCTTGAATTCGCCATGTCTATATACTAAAACGTGTATAATTTAAATGGAAATAAAAAAAAAACTACTTTATAAACTTTCACAGATCCTCACAGATTCTAAAACTACAACGTTTGAAAAATATATTTTAGCTGTTAATTTTATTGGAACGTATTGGTCAAATTATTTTTTAAGTAATAAAGTTCACGGCTCTTGCATAGAGAAGGACGATCGTCTACCAATTAAATTTTAGAGAATATTCTAGATTCGATTTCCTAATTTAGTAAAATACCGGACTGTAATAGTAATCCAGAAACTAAACATCTTAAAAGTCAGTGGGTTCAACATCGTTGTACGGGATGTCAAAAACATACAACTACCTGTTGTAGCTGTGCGGATTCAAAAGGAATGTGTGCAGATTGTTGGGCCTGGCATATTCGTACGTTATACATTATAAATGTAACAAGGTTAAATTTTTTTTTACTTGTTGCCTAGGATTTGCTTTATTATATTTTAAAAACAAACCTGAATTTTTTTTTGTAGTGAATCATCTAGCCGCGTTCAATAATGTACTAGTTCTAGTACATTAAAATTTGCAGAATAATAACAGATTTTAAATTTGTTATATCTTACTATTTACATTATAAATAAAAATAAAATTTATATTTTTGAATAAAGCAGTATATAGTAATTTTAAAATATTAAAATTGTTTAATTTTATTAAATATTGGTGGTTTTATGAATTTTATAAAATGTACTAGTTCTAGTACAAATTAGTAAATCCAATTCATTAATTTGAAAAGTTTAAAATTGCTCAAAAATGTCCATATAACAACACTATCTATAGACATACTATGAGATTAAAAGTATATTTAAGTTAAAAAAGTAACTAAAATTATTAGCTAGAAATACTGTAATAATATGATATATTTTACAATAACAATTTTTATTATTAATAAAATAAACAAACCAACCAGTGATTTATTAACTAAAAAATTTGAATTTGATAGAGTTCAAAACAATAACTATATTTAATTCTTTAGTTAGAATTATATAGGGCCTTTGTAGTAGAAAGGGCTGATACTAAAATATATTGTTACAAAGTAGATTTTTAGTTTAGATTTTACTTAGTTATTTTAGTTATAAATATTCGATACTTGTATTTTTATATATTTAGTTAAAATAGTATTTATTATTATATATTAGTTATTATATTTAGATAGTATATTTTATAGTAATTATATAGGAATATTCTAATTGGCTATTGGAAGTGTGGCGCAGTCACATGCCCTCACATGACCTCAGATTACACAAAAGGATACTTTAGGTCATACAAAAGTATTACACAAGAAAGTAACACAAGTTCACCTTCTTCCCTCGCACAAACATCTAATTACCCTGCACAAGTCCTAAATGTTTTAAACACAAAGTACTATGCAGCAAAGTCCTCTAATTCCCCCACACGAGATGTAAATAAATATAAACATGATGAGTAATATTTATATGTCCTCTACTTCACCTAATATAATCACCTTCTTCACCTAACACGGTCCCCTACTTCCTTCTACACAAGTTCACCTTCTTCACCTGCCAAGTGTTACTCATATACTGTGCATCGTGTATCCTCCTTGTGGGTAAAAAGATATATAAAGGGTGCCTTTTCCCCTTCCTGCCAATTCTTAAGTTTCTACACTTCGCTTAGACTCTGATATCCTTTACCTCCTTCTTATCTTGTAAAGTGTGATATTTCCTCTCTAAGGTAATTCCTACAGGCAAGGCTTATCACCATTCTTGTATTAAATAAAGCTATCTTATATACTGTTACTATCTCGAACCGTTTGCCTGCTGCTGTATAGTTAAGTGAACAACTACACCTCCACCCCGTATATATTTGCAATAGTCAATCACTGTACCGGGTGACCTTGTTACTTGGTTGTATTTTACTAAGAAGGCTACAACCCTGTAACAATATATAATTTTGAAATTATCAAGTTTGTTTTGTTCAGACTGATTTGAGTTAATCAAACTTTATGTGATTTAATTGGCTAGTTATATCAAGTAATTTTATAATATACAAATCTCTTAAAGAATTTTTTTAAAAATATTTTGATTTTTTATTATGCAAATCAATTTCTATCTATAATTGAAAAATGTAGTACATGTTAAATTTATTTAAATATATCAAAAATTCAATTTTTATTTTTTAGATAGTATTGGTCTTTTCTACTGCAATGGCTCTATATAGTTTAACTAAGATTTAAATATTTCTTGCTATACTAGGTTTATATATAAATTACTACATATATTTTATATAATTCTTTATTATTATTTAGTGTTTATGAACTATATTTAATTACTTTCTATATACTTTCAAACTACAGATTATCTCTATTAATATTAACCTCATTAATATCAACTTAAGCCACAAAACAAATTTTTATAAATTTTTATATATTAAAATTCATTCATATATATCAACTTAAATATAATATAGACGCAAATCACTAACTCTTTCTGACGATCATTTGTACCAAGTTTTAGCTAAAAACAATTACACTTTTCTCAATATTTTACTAAGTAAACCTATTCTGGCTGCCTAAGT